CACTGACATCAAGCACTGCAATGCTTATACATTCCATTTCTTGCTTTATGGCATCTAGTTTACCTTGATTCATACTTCTCACATTCCATGTTCCAATTGTTTGTGTTGTACAGCTTCAGACTTTCCTTTCACTTCTGTGCACATCAGCAACTAGACATCCTTTGGTATTTATTTATTTATTTATACTCTGCCTTTCTCCTTAAAAAGAACCCAAAGTGGCCTACATCATTAAACAACAATATTTAAATCTAAAAATAGTAAGTATAAAAATATCAAAAAATGATCAAGTGAATACCTTAGTAAAAAAATGGAAAGCAAAAGCAACACATTCAAAGCAGCAAGGCACAACGATCCAGGTAGCCAGTTACATAGGGAAAGCTTGTCTGAAGAAAAAGGTCTTCGCCTGCTTGTGGAAGGACAACAAAAATGGGGCCAGCCTGGCCTCCTATAGGAGGGAGTCCCAAAGTCTGGGAGCAGGAAAAGAGAAGGCCCTCTCCTGTGTCCCCACCAAGTGCACCTGTGAGGGTGGTGGGACTGAGGCAAAGGTCTATCTTATGATCTTAACACCCAAGCAGGCTCATGAAGGGAGATGCAGTCCTTGAGATAGCTTGGACCCAAACTGTTTACCAAATCTAATTGCATTACTGGTGACAGAGCTATTAGTACTTGCCTGTGCTCTTCCTCAGTATCTGATTGAGTGCTTTCTGGGGAGTCTCATCTTCCAGCACTATCTCTTCTGTTAATTTTGAACTGTCTCATCAAAGGGGTTTCATGGTAAGGGAAGTCCGTCAGCAAGGGTTTAACATTGCTGAATAAGTTGAATGTAAATAATTTATTTTTTTCAGTAACAAAGGTACAAATAAGTTATATTACACACATAAATTTACAAGGGATAACTTTACTCTTTTTTCAGTGTATCTGCAATTTTAAAATTACTTGTATAATTATTGGGGTATTGTCTCACTAAATGAGGGTAGAAGGAATACTATCTGCTTCAAAGGTTGCTTCCCACTGTGTCTCATGCTGGTTTATTCAGATGAAGTTTTCCAAAAGGCAAAAACTAATTGTAGATGCTTTGAAAGAAGAGTAGTATCTTTTACAGTTTTACATTAGCTAACTACTTTTGAGCTTTGGAACGAAAAAAATTATTTTATTTTATTTTTTATATCCCACCTATACGGTCGGTTAAGACCACTCTAGGCGGCTAGAGTAAATTTACTTAGTAAAAAATCAGTAAATTTACTTAGAGTAAATTTACTTAGTAAATTCATGCATTTGAGTTTTTAAAAAGTCTGAATTCTATGAACAGCCCACACAAGAAAATATACTCTCTTTTCATCAACTTGCTGTCACTTTAGCAACCCCAACAGATCACAAGCCACAGCAATGGAACCTTGTGAAATTCCTTCTCCACCATTCAGTAAGGCAACATTTTGTATAACTCTAAAAATAAGAAATAGTCCCAGTTCTTCCATAAAAGAAGTGAAGGTCTACCTCATGAAGTTAGAGTCACAAGGGAAGGAAGCTGTATCACTATTAATTAGTTATTTTAGTGCAGCCACAGGCAACCAGCATGGTTCCAAAGCAACACCAGATGTGGGGACTGCTAAACCACTTCTGAGTCCTTTAGATATAGAAAGCCCTAGGAGGGCCATTAGCAGTTGGAATTCTCTTGGTGGCACAATGTCTTCCTACTAAAATTGACAATAATAATACATTGAAATAAAGGGTAGTTATGTGGCTGATTAAAAAACAAAATACAAATGGAAAAAGAGGCAATACCTTTACAGACTACTAAAAAATCATCATACAATACACAAGTTTTTGTGGGTTAAAAAACCCACTTCATCAGGTGTGAATAATTTAAAGTCCAAAGATTCATGGCAAGATGGATAATAATACAGTTATTTATGCAAGTTTCTTCCAAGGTTTAACATTCATAAGTTTGGTTAACATAATGCTTTGCTCAGCATAACAAGCCATTATTTATACAGGTTGCATGAGACTGCTTACATATGAAGGACCACAGTGCCAAAATGATATATAACAAAAATGAAATATAACGAAAAACACAAGTCTTGTGACTCCTCGGAGACTGAGATTTATTTCAATGTGAAGTTTTATGCATTAAAAGTCACATCCACAGACTCCTCTAACAGTCTGGAGTGTCTGACGAGGTGGATTGGGGTCAATAAAAGCTCACACTGAAATAAATCTCTTGGCCTTCAAGGTGCTACAGGGCTTGCATTTATCTTTTTATTTCATTTTTATCCATGCTGGCAAAGGTACCTCTCTGGAAAGGCTACAACTGATTTTGATGATGGTTTTGATGTTACTGAGATAAAACTTTGCATGATACACTGATGCAACTATCGGCAATCCACTCTGTATTAGTAGTAGGATATCATTGTTTCTTTGGGCACCAGGAAATTATACACCTACTTTACTAGTGATTTCAATAGGTCTTTCTCACAAATTTTCAAGGGTGGCTGATACATCTGCTATATGAACAGGTTCATTTTTTGGGAAAGCTTATGACTTATTTTTGTTGATAGTTTTACTGGTGGCCACCATTTTTAGAAATTAAAGATCCCCTCTTCTGTCTCCTGGCCTCCCAAAAATTTCCTCAGCATGAAATGGATCCCAAGGGAACTTTGGGAGCTTTTGGATGGGTAGAGCTGTAAAGTTTCACTTAAAAAAACAACAACCACTGGAGCTGATTTCATTGTCATTGAACTGCTGGATGGCTCAGTGGTTTAGATATCTGACAGTCAAACCAGAGACTGGGAATTCAGTTCCCAGCTGTGCCTCCCTGACAGGGACTGGACTCAATGATCCCTTCCAGCTCTGCAGTTATATGAATATTTTTAATGAGGTCAGTTATACTATATTTCAGCCATTGCAGGGGAAGTAATTCTGCCATCCTCTATCCATAATCATCTGAACTGGGAATGTGTAGAAACTATAAGATAGGTAAGCTTGGAAAACAAACATTTCATAATGAGCACAAAAAAGGACACAAAGCCCAGTGCTGAATGAGATGGGTTATTTTTTTTCCACAGACAGCTGTTAATTAGGCCCAAGAAATGTGCTGCTGAAGGGAGCTGTGAGAAGGGCCAGCTAATGTGATCCTACTAGATCAGAGGCAGAGAACTTTTTTCAATCCATATTTTCCAGCCTGGGAAATGCCTCACGAGCAGCTTTCCAGTGGTGTACTGTAGTGGCCTTATTCTTACTGATGGCTCAGAACCAAGCAGGACTCAAATTACTATAAAACCAGCCCCTTCCATCCCTACTCACAACTAAGTTCAGTTCCATGCATGAGCATCCTATCAACCACTTTAAAAACAAGTAGAAGTCTAGCATTATTTTCAGTTTACACTTCAATTATGATGCTTCATCATGATTGAGTGGGATATAACTGCAATGACAAATCAACAAAGAGAATAATTTAGCCTATAGCCATTTCAGAGATTGCCAATTAAGAGGGAAACTGTCTGAAGAGGCTCAAAGTCTTTGAGGAATCGTGAAGGGATTGTGAAAAGGTCCAGAACTAACTGAGCAAAAGATCAGCACAGAAGATAGAGAAAGCCAGATACTGTGAGAAACACAAACCACAAACCTATAGTACAGATTGGGGCAGGGGTGGGGGTGGAATCCATTGTACATAATGAAAGATAATGGGGCATAGTTAGAGAGAAAGGGCATGCCTGGGACAGAAGTTTCCCCAGTGCTGTACTAGAACAATGGCCCATAAACTGTTATAAAGAATTAGTTGAGTGTCAAAAATTCCTTTCCTCAGGCTGCAAAATAATATATATGCTCTGAGTTCTTTAAAATATAGAAACTTTGTCTGACCTACCCACAGCTTAAAACAAGGCAGACTGAGAGGGTCAAACAGCGAGGCAGAGAAACACATATTCACCAGTGACAGAAAGCTAGCTTCTTAAACATGCACTGACATATACAACAGCACTATTACCTTTGTGCTAAAATTCTGGTTTTAAGACTTGAGGGGAAGACCAAAATGACTGCAATCGATTGCCAACCAATATTTTTAAAACTAACCAAGCTTGCTTTCGTATCTGACAGATCCCCAAGATTTTGTTGACCCTATACATCCTTAATAATAAAGAGTGCTTTGAAGCACCTAATTATGGAGCCAGTAGCTGGGAGATTGTACCCCACTGTGCATTCTGGGGAGGGGGCAGCTGAGATCACCTCAAGCATTTGTGGCTGGTAGAATTATGTGCCCTGTCATGTGTAAGGTGCACAGTCCCAGAGCAGCACAACAAGAAGGGACTGGTATGTCTGACTACTTTACACTCAGAAAACTCTGTGACAGTTGCCTTAGGTTGAACATGACAACACATAATTATTAATATTGTACATCTTTACTTGGAAATAAATCCTATTCAGTTACTTCCAGGCCACTGTGAATATGTTTGCACCATAAAGGGCTAAAGCTGATTGATATTCTGGAAGTTCATACCAAAGGCACAGTTCCCTTGGTTTTTAAAAAGAATGGTGAGTTGCTGAGATTCACAATACATTTATAATCACTGTGGAAGAAAACAAAGAAAAACAAGCCCACAGATGGTTTTAAAATACACAGAGATTCGAAGTACATCTATATAGCCCTCAGAATTTACTGTGAATCTCCACAAATGCAAGCACCTGAGAAAAACAGCCCCCTTTCTACCAATTGCACCTGTGGTATGAAGTGACATGTCTATTGACTGAGTTGTATTTAAACAATACCACTTTAACACTGTCTCTACCTCAGAAAAAGGTGGCTCACTCTGCCTCTTCGGCACAGGAAAGCGGTTAGGCAGCTGCTGCATTTCAACACATGCAGGAGAGAGGAAGTGGAAACTGGCTGAAATGCTTCAGCCTCTATCACAGGAGTATGAACCTGAACAGCATGTTTCCAAATACATTTTATTAAATATAACCCTATCTACGTTTTGCTCAGCTATTGCAATTTAATAACAACTTACCCCTCACTTCCTTGGGTGATGAAACATGTGTCTCCAGAAGTCTCTTGGGCAAAGGCATGCGCAGCCGTTTTTGTCACCAAGTTCTAAAGTGATTACCCTGTGCTAGCTCTCTGCACACACAGACACTGAGGAGGAAGGAAGAGTGCACAGGAAGGGGACAGAGAACTTCCCAAACATTGCCCAGTCAACATGTGATTGGAACAGGTACTGAAGAAGCTGTGGGCGGGACAGGAGCAAGTCTAACCAGTTTTACCTCCTCTTTTTCTTCCTGTCAAGTTTTTCCTATGTATATATATATATATATATACGTATATACTGTATACTGTATGCAGTTTTGTTATAGAGTGGTTTCATGTGATATACTGCTATAGCGATAATAGCTGTTTAATTGTGAAAGCAGGATGTGTGGTGTGAAAACCATTTCATACACATAATCTAGCTGCAGCTCTTTAGATTAGGCTGTGCACCTACAATGCATGAAGGACAAAAACCCACAGCTCATGTCAGTTTCTTCATGAGAAAGGCAGGATGCCATATTGCCAAACTAGATGTGTCCAAGCAGAGGCTCCCGTATCTTCCATACTGAAAGTAGCTGTTCCCAAAGAGAGAACACCTACAGTTAAAAGCTAATCTTATGGTTGAGAGTATAACAAACAAACAAACAAACAAATAAAACCCAGAGAAATTCAGGCCACAAATTCAGATTATAAACTGATCTCACTCAGAACATGGGCACATTGATGTGCCATTTTTACACATGAACTTCCAGTCCAAGTAAACACCACAGCATAATATTGATATACAGCTACCCCAGTCCCCATACAGTATAGAACATCTTTAAGGTTGGGGAACATCTGAGATGATATATAGGCTTTGATAGTTTCAGCAGCTAAACACTACAGAATTTCAGCAGAGTCTCATCTATCTTAATATAATCTCACTAATCCCATCATCAATATACATTGTGAGGATAAAAGGTCCTTGTGTTTAATGGACTTAGTTCTAGGTCAACAGAGATTTATTCTCTTTAGGGAATCAAAAAGTGGAACTCACCTCTTGTGATTACTTGGGGTGCAAGTTAAAGTCCAAAATGAGTGAAACAGAGTGTCTAAATTTTAAGAGTGAGAGGTTAAACTGTGATCTGAATTTCTTTGCTTTAAGGGATACAGCTTCAACCATTTCTTTAAACTTTAATTTAAAGGTTCCCTCTCCCCTTCTGGAATTTCCCTACTACTTGAAATACAGAAGCACAAAGTCATCAGTGCTAAGAGAAGAGAATTTCTCTTTTTTTGAACATGGATAAAAGAAAGCAATTAGAAACTACAGGATAAATATTGAATAAAAATATTAGAAGCCAGTGCCTGAAATCCTGTTGCTTTATTACACAAAAGTTAGAACATTCAGTCATTCTTAGGCAGTAATTAACTAGTCCCTGCTGGTAATCTTGAGCGTACACCAAGCCAGTGGGTAGGTGAGCACATGTGCGTGTGTGTGCGTGTGCGCGCACACACACAGAGGGATTTTCAGCACACACTGAGAATCCCAATGCTGACTTGTTACTTGGTAGCTAGGAATTACTAAAAGTTATTTATGCCTTTTGCCTTCTCCATGTGTAAAATAGCAACAGTATTTTAACCATTGCATAAATAACACAGAAAAGAGTCAACAGCTGCATTAAACCTTGTACTCATTATAGAAAACACACCAATTTCTCCAGGCCAGTTCTGTTTGGCTTTCTAGGGAAACCACATCCTCTCAAAAAGGAGGAGAACAAGCTTATCTCTTAAATAGGTTATGCATACTACTGTTGGTGTGCTGTGCTGCTCAGCATTTTTTGCCTGCGAAACATATTCCAGGGTTACAGGTGTTTCACCAACAGCTAATCCTACAAGGAAGGGGGATTTAAAAACTACAATTTTCATCCTATACCTACCATTATACACTGTCCATTTGAGTAAAAGATACAAGCAGAGACCTGAAGCTTTCAGAAGGTAACAGGAGTGAAAAGTAGAACTGCAACATCAGTGAAAAATGGACACAGTAAAAAGGATGCTGCAAAAGAGTGGGGAGCTTCACCTTTCATTTTTGTGGGTGAGAGAACATTGAAAATAGTCACCAATCATAATCACAGTGTAACTAGAACCAGTGTAATATAAGATGGGAAACAGCAAAAGGCAAGTTATCTCTCCTATCCTTTCTTCACGCAGATTCAGTTGGACAGTCAGAGCTCAAAAGTCTAAATTAGGAGTGTCAACTCCTGGCTTCAAGCAAAAGTACTTCCAAGCTGCTATAAGATGAAGTGGGGCTTGTCTCCATCACCTCCAGAGCAAAAACTAGATCTTAATGAAACCTCAATAACTTGGAGGGGTGCAAAGCAGACAACATGTCTGTCAATTAGCTATTATAGTTTTCCATTTAGGGGGAAAGGGAGGGAGGAGGGAAGTATAAGACTTGAGTGGCATTCAGGTTTTCTCCCAAATCTCAAGACATATTTTTATCACATCTCTGCAATTAATCACAAGGCTTTGAGGAGAGGATGCTGAGTCGAACTGAACATCTCCATGCTTTTAATTGATCAGCAATCACACTGGCAGCATTTTAAATAATTTTGGATGAAGGGTGTTGTCCTCACTGTAGCTTGTTTTATTTATTATTTCCTTATCCTTTAAGGTTTATTCTTCAAATATTCTTCCTTATCCTACCCAAAATGTCCATTCGATCCAGCCAGTCTATTCTTAAATTTTCATTCACATGTGTGCCCTGGTTCGTAGCTTTCCTTGACTTGTTGATATTGTAAATGCTTGATCATGTTAGGCTAGTCTGTGTTTTAGTAGCAGGCAGTTCCATATCCATGAGGAAGCGGGGGGGGAGGAAGCAGCTTGCATGCTCAGCCACCCCAAATGTCTCACAGAGAAGGAAAAGAATGGCAATTGATCTCACTGGGCTGCACTTGCATTGCTTATACAGTATAGTATTTATTTATTTGTCTTATTTATAGGCTGTCTTTCTCCTGATAAGCAGAGTGCAGGATGTGCAGGAAAAACTTATAAAATTGGTGGACGACACAAAAGTGGGTGGAATAGCTAATACCTTGGAAGACAGGAACAAAATTCAAAAAGATCTTGAAATTTAACAGGGGTAAGTGTGACGTTCTACACCTAGGGGGAAAAAAACAAATGTGCAGTCACAAGATGGGGGATACTTGGCTCAGTAATACTGCAAGTAAAAAGAACCTTGGAATTATTGTAGATCAAAATATGAGCCAATAGTGTGATTTCCCTTCTATCTGGCACTGGTTAAGCCTCACCTAGAGTACTGTGTCTGGCTCTGGACATCACACTTTAAGAAGGATGCCAACAAATTAGTTCAGGTTCAGAGGTGATCAACAAGGATGATCTGGGCATTAGAGACCAAGCCTTTATGAGGAAAGACTGAACGCTGGATATGTTTAGCCTTGAAAAAAGACTGAGCAGATAGGATAGTACCTTTCAAATACTTGAAATATTGCCATAGAAGGTAGGGGCAGGATCTGTTCCCAATCATCTGAGAGTGCAGGATGTGTAATAATGGACTCAAGTTACAGGAAGCTAGATTCTGATTGAATATCAGGGAAAATTTCCTTACTATTAGAGCAGTACAACAATGGAACCAGTTATGCCAGGAATTGGTGAGTGCTCCAACACTGGAGGCATTCAAGTGAAAACTGAACAACCATCTGTCAGATCTGCTTTGATTTGGATTCTTGCACTGAGCAGGGGAGTTGGACTCAATGGCTTTACAGGCCCCTCCCAACTCAATTATTCTGATTCTGATTCTAAAGCGGTTGATTGGTGTGTGAATGTGAATAAACGCACCTAAGTGAGTTGCTCATCTTGTCTAATTTCCTCTGCCCTTAGAGCTGTCCTAGCCCTCCTGCTCTTAGGTCAGAAAGGAACAGGAGTACTTTGTGTGGTTTGCCTCAGCTCTTCTAACACGTTCGGCACTCCATATGTACATTCTGTTTGTGTAACTTGACCCCCCCCTCCCCAGTGGAGTTCTCCCCCACTGACCAATGCTGCTTGGACTGCTTTTAGCAACAATATTAAAAGTGAGGCAATGACAAGGAGGAAGGATTCATTCGCTGCACCAAGGCTGCCAGATGCCAGGCTCTACTGTACTAATAGTACTTAGCAGCACTTCCTGGCACCTCCACTTCGTCTTTCCCATCAAGGTATTGAACAGGTGGCAACCGTGAGTACTCTGAACTGATAAGGAAATTGACCTAACAAGGCTGATCAGGTTCTCAGCCACGTCCTATTGTCCCTTCTGTTCATGCCATGTGACACTTTGACAAGGATGGATCAGACATTGTCACCACACTGAGACTAAGTATGGCTTCTCTGGATTTGCCGTGTTCACAGAACAAAAAGATTGTATCAGGAGAGGGGCCCCTCAAGATCCATTACACAAAGCTTTGGACTTCTGAGTCCATAGTTCTTGCATCATAGTGAGTTTGTGTTTTGCTCATGTTTTTGCACTTCAGAGTTTCTTGAGATAGTTTTTGCACCTCCATGATCTTGAGATACAGCCAGCTTCTGACTGAACTCTTTTGTTGAAGTCACTAGCTGAGCAAATGACTTGCTTAACCCAATCTTGAGATAAAAATCACTCACAGGGCTTCAGAATCTCATTCTCGCCAGGGAACCTCATTCATTTACCCTCCAAGAGTTGTTGTTTTGGCAGCCTGAGAAACTTGCTAGCTTATTCTCCTAGAGACCTACTTCACTGGATATCTGGAATGGTAGTTGATTGGGTTTTGTCGGGCTTTTAATTTTAAATAACTTGCATACAATAATTTTTACATCCTGGGACCATAATCTCTTTTTGCCTAACAGTTTTGGTGCATATACCAGTGACTGGGATATTGAAATCCCTCTCCTGCTTCCCTGCAGAGGGGCAAACAGAAGAGGATTTAAGGGTTGTTGTTTTTAACCCTTTGAAAATAATGCTGAATTGGTTGCTTGGCAAGCCAATTCAGCACTGTAACACTTGGATTTATTTTTTAAAAACCAAATACTCTCTTTGGCAGGACACAGGAGGAGATGAGATTTTATTTTACAGTCACAGGAAGGAGGACGGGAGCCAGAACTTAACAACAGAAATGGGCTAAAATTGTGAACAGGGTCATCACCAGCAAACAGCTGCACAGTAGGCAATACAATTCAGGGGTGAAGGAGAGAGAGAGATGGCTCTTCCATCATCCGAGGCAGGCAGTAGTGGTGACCTGTGACTGTCCTTCTTAGTCCAATGAGACGTGACAGCAGCTCTGGGTCACAGATTCGGCACATGGATCTCTGTTCCACCCTCCTGTCAGTTTTCCACAAGTCAGGAACTCGCAAGTGGCAGGTCAGTGTTGCAGGGAACCATCTGGCCAGCATCACCACCCCTCCACCTGGAGGGTCTGCAGAAACATTCTCCTCCTTCCTATGTTAAAATCTGAGTAGCTCTGGATATTATGGGGGAGAAAGTGACGGGATCACACTGCCTGCAGTGGAGTATATCATAATACATTCAAATCTGAGACTCAACGTTACTTACATTTCTTTGGATTTCTCCCAGTGACATCATCAAAAATATTATCCCATAAAGGCAAATAAGAGTTACCATGCTCTCAAAGGTATCTTGAAACTGGAGCTTAGGTATTATTTAACACATCCATAGCTGACCTTTCCACAAGTTTCCAAGACTTATAGTTTAGATACTACATACTTACATTAAAATCCACAGCTGCTAATGAATTTTAAATCAAGGTTACACGTTATAGTCTTGCTTGGAGTACTGCCAAATTATGCTGGACACTTTAATACTATAGTTGAATTTGATAGGTGATAACAATGTGAAACAAGCAAACCAGACCAATAGTTATCCTGGGATTTCCATCTGGCACAACCTCTCCAAGATCAACTATAATCCAATATAATTATAATCAAATTTGTAAATATGTCTAGGATTTTAAATTTAAATCATTTGATGTTTGAAGTTGGTCCATGCTTCACATTTTCATACTGAGTTACTCTTACAAGCTCACATTTAAATGTCATTTTCTTTAATGAAACAAGTGGACCTCTGGGGGCAGCCCTGCCCATTCCATGAGGAGGAACACATTGTATCCTCCCACCTCCATCCTGATCAGCAAACACCATCAAGCTCTTGGCACTCTTATATGCAGTTTTTTAAATATAATTTGTCACTGGACTGGCCCTAGTTAAGGTTCCTCATTTTGTCACATAACCATCAGTACTTTGGTTCTTTACAGTGAGAGTGAAACAAACTAATTTACTTTTGAAAGGGTTGCGTCTCCAGGCTGTGATTCTACAGTCATGATAAACTAGACACAGGGACAACCAAAGGTAGAGTAGATGGTCCAAGACTGCCACCTTAGGCAGAAGCCTCTGGAAGGATCAGGATAGATCAAGCAAAAGATATCAGCAGGATCCTTGTTTGTCCAGGACACATATTGCAACACTCACTATATAAAACACCAAAGATGAAAGCAGGGTCCAGGCATGCTGGGTGGCTGGCAGAAACCTTTCTGGCCTGGCTCGCAGGCTCAAACCCCAAAAACGTATTCCAGGGGAATAGGAAGGCTGGGGAGTCAAGGCTGTGCCTCACCCATCAGCAGCACTTGGTCAGTGGGGTTAGGAAGGTCCTCCCATTTTTCAAGTACTCCATGTATTGCATTCTTTCTGGGAGAGGAAGGGGTTGTGCTCCACCCATGCCTCTTAGGTTGCTAATCTGAAGAATGTCTGTGCTTCAGGCCCAGGGGCCTTCTCTCCTTCCTCAGCTGTTGGGAAAGTGTGGGACACTTTCTCAGAGCAAGTGTCAAAATCCCACATGCCTCTGGCCAAGCATGTGTGGGCTTTCTTTGCCAACTGCAACAGTGGCTTATATTTTCTGCTATTTCCACCTGCTGGTCACCCTCAGTAGTGGCTTTCACTGGGCAAATGATTACTGTCATGGCTTCCATCAATGACATCTAATCTGCATGCTGGTTTTCTTGAGTGCATCTTTGTGCCAGACAGGTAGAGCAGACAGTGCTGGTCTCCTATAAAATATACACAAACAAAAAAATAAAATAAAAATAAAACACATCTCCTATAAAATATACACAAACCAAAAAAAATAAAAAATAAAACACACACCACTCTGCTCAGCAATCTAGAAGTCTCAGCTGAACTCTATTAAATATTCCGGATAAATCTGGTTGGCATCAAAGATTACAAAAATTTTTGGGTTCCAAGTATTGTCCACACAGCTGTCATACAAATTTACAAGGCTCCCATCTTTTGAAGGTGGTCTCACATATTTGGAGTCTCCACCAATATAGTCTCCAGTCAATACACGGGCAAGAAACATCATTTTGTGCTTCCTAAGGACATGAAGTTGCAGATCAACGGCGTGGATTTGAAATGTATTGCCATGTTTCAGGTCATCTTTGCAGAAACGGCTGGAGTATGAAGCATCCCTGGAAAAATATGTCCCTACAGAAAAAGAGATATGCTTGATCAAAGCCTAGAAATAATTTCTTCTTGGTTATTCAAGTCTCAGAGTGGAGGGAATTTTCATGGAACATATTCCTTAAAATGGCAAACCAATGTCACATTCTCCCTTCTTTCCCAAAATATGTGTTTCCTGATACACATTAAAACGTACTCAGAATATGAAGAAGGTAAAAGTACACTAATGGAAATACATGACAAGACACTATCAGGTCATGTGTTTCCTGATACACATTAAAATGTACTCAGAATATGAAGAAGGTAAAAGTACAACATAACATTCTGGCATATTGTATGACTGAGGGCAGCATTGGGTTGTTGTTCTCTGTTCTTTATCTCATCTAATTGCAACACAGCAAGACAGAAGAGCTGGTACTCAGCTGTTTCTAACAGTCATCGGTCTTTGCAGGATTTGCTAAGACAACTAGATGATCACATGGGCTTGAGGAAATTAATTCTATTGGTGTGTCACACTTTTATGTCATATATCTGAACCAGGTACCCCTATGCAGAGCTCATTCCACAGTGAAGGCCATTATTATATAGACAGAATAGCAGTATATAGCACAATTTGGATGCCTGGGAGAATTATACTTCTACATAGATTCTGCTGACCATATGCAGAAGCTCTTTATAATACTCAATTCAGGTATTATTGAAGCATGTGAGCTACTCTACATGCTGGGGGGGGGGTTGCACTGTCTCTGACTCTCTGCTTTTATTTCCTCACTCCCAAACATGTCTGACAAAGAGAGGACAGTATAGCCATGGGAGTTCTCCACACTAGGAATGAATTGACACAAAATTATTTGTCCTTTCTGAGATCCCTATTGAAAAGCACTGGCCTCCATGAAATTTCTCACCTCTTGTGGAAGAATAAGACAAACAGCACTTTTTTCTCCCATTGAAGTTTCTGTAATTTGTGCAAAATATACCAGTGCAACACCAGCATCTAGATACAAAAAAAACCATGTGGTGCTTTTCATTTTTAGAAGCTCCTGCAACAAGGCAGCAGATATTGTAGTTATACACAATGTTGCCATTGCACAATTTGCACTGAAATTGTTCCAACAGTAGACAACTTGTCAATATTGGCAGAAAATATTTCACCTTCTTGAAGGCAAAGAAAAAGTATTTGTGGTTCTTCATTCTTGCACACAAGAATAAGACAAGTGAGGATTTACACCCCTAGTTCACATTGCTAGGACATAGGAAAATTGGGCTTCTGCCTTGGATACGAAGCTTCCATGGATAGAACAGGCTGTCTCCTACTTACATGTCACATTCATAAGAGGAAATCAAGAATGGAACAGCAGGGAGAGCACACTTCTCTTCCTTACACATGGAGTACATACACCTCAAACACTTGAACAAGACTTCAGATTTCTCCAAATGTAAGGCAACACTCTTTGCGTACTGTTCTGTGTACTGAGTAACAGTAAGCTTTTTAAGTGGCTCTTGGATTAAGGGAATGTAGGAACTTTCAATTAGGTTAATTAATTCATTTGCTCTACCAAGAAGTTAACTGCTGCCTTTTCTTCTGAACAACTGTACACTTCTGCAAGTTTTCAAACTGAGATGGGCTTTTTTGATGAAGTGTGTGCAGTTGCCAAGAGGGGCCACTTGTCTCCCTGTCCTCTCCCAGATATCTTCTTGTGTGCCAGATTGGTGGGGACGTGGTGGCGCTGTGGGCTAAACCGCAGAAGCCTGGGCTGCAGGGTCAGAAGATCCGGCAGTCGTAAGATTGAATCCCCGCAACGGAATGAGCCCCCGCCGCTTGTCCCAGCTCCCGCCAACCTAGCGGTTCGAAAGCATGCAAATGCGAGTAGATAAATAGGGACCATCTCGGTGGGAAGGTAAACAGCGTTCCGTGTCTAAATCACACTGGCCATGTGACCACGGAAAGATTGTCTTCGGACAAAACGTTGGCTCTATGGCTTGAAGAGCGGGATGAGCGCCGCCCCCTAGAGTCGGACACGACTGGACAAAAATTGTCAAGGGGAACCTTTACCTCAGACGTGGTACTTATGAACATCAAAGAATTCCTCTCCTCCCCACTCCAACTCTTAAAACATCAGGAACTCTGAGGTATGCCAGATTCATATGTCCCAAATTCTGTCTTCCACACAGAGTATTAAAAACCTACTCTTAGAAAGGTTCTAATACAGTGGTGCCCCGCGTAGCGAGCACCCCGTTTAATGACGAATCCGCATAGCGATGCGGATTTTGTGATCGCAAAAGCGATCACATTGCGATGTTTTATATGGCTAAATAGCGCATTGCGATGACCGGTAAGTGTTTCGCTTACCGATCTTCGCATTGTGATGTTTAGAAAACAGCTGATCGACGGTTCCAAAATAGCCACCGGAAAAAAATGGCCGCCCGCAGCATTTTCGCACACTTTCCTCGCTTACCAGGCAGCGAAAATGCTGGCCGGATGGAGGACTTCTGCACAGCAGTGAGCTTTTTCCCCACAGGAATGCATTAAACAGGGTTTAATGCGTTCCTATGGGGTTTTTCATTCCGTATAGCAACATTTTGGATAGCGACGATTTTCCTGGAACGGATTATCATCGCTATGCGGGGCACCACTGTATTCATTTTATTTTAATTTCATCTTAATGGCCTATACTTAACTAAACCAGGAACCACCCAGCAGTCCTGCAGATACGACATCCACTCTTGTTGCTGGCCCTCTTTATATGATAATCACAAACATAATACACCCACTGTACGTAGTTGTCACAGGAAGTCAACAAACTGAAGTCAAACTGGTTACAGGTTAAGTAAGACTGACTTCCTTTATACCATCCAGGCTGCCTCTGCAGTTAGGTAGGTGCGATTTATTTAGATGAAGGTCGGTAACTATGGTCCTCCAGATTTCTTCACCTATAACTGCCAACAGCCTTAGCCAGCATAGCCAAATATGTGGAATTACAGGAGTTTCAGCCCAGAAAAGCTGGATAGCCAGAATGATCAATTCCTGATTTAGATAAATCAATAATCATTTATTTGGTTCTCCATCTCTAATATGGCGGATTCCCATGTTTGATTCACATGCTCCACATTTTCTCTGTTTCTCTGTCCTGCAAAGTCAGAATTGTGATCACCAGACTCAATGCAATTCCAATCCTTGTTTGTTTTCCTTGATGTTCCTTATCATTCCTTCAAGAATTCTTTGCTTTAGGCTTTGTTCCTTGTTTCAGTTCTGGTTTACAGCTCTGCTCCTGACACCTAGCAAAGCTAGAACATTTTAGATTGTTTCAGGGATCCTCCACAAAGGTAGCAAAGCATTCATTAGCAAAATGATTTCAACATACACTATGTATATAAATTATAAGAAAGAACTCAATCAGTCCCTTGCCTTTTCCATATACAGCAGCGTGCATGCCATTGATTCTCCAGTCAAAGTTATGAATGCAGATGGCTTCCACAAATTCACTGCTGGTGCCATGAAACAACATATGTTCATTAATGAAGGGAATACCTCTTTTCTTCTTCAACTGAGCTTTCTTCCTATAGAAAGGCAGGATTGCAAAGAGTTCATGATAGAAATCAAGTATTTGCACAAAACAAGAGCAAAGGTCAAAAAACTGTTGATGATAATGTTTCTACACTTTCCAATAAAAGCCCAGCAAATCTACTGCATGTTCAGTGGTTGTCCTCTCACAGACATCAGCATGAAGTGCAAATTATGAAATCATTCAACAGTCTGTACTGCTTCAGCTTGCAGGGAGAAGATTATACTTTTTGAATGCAGAGAGAGTGCTGAGCTAGACCTCATATACTAGTTTTCTATGTGAAAGGATTTCCTCCAAATTATACAGAGAAGAGCATTTCAAAAATAGGACCTCCTGTCTATGTAGCACAGCCCTGTCTAACATCTCATTCGTCCACATGTATACAGTGTTTTCTTTGTATCTCAGTGAGAAATCCTGAATTACAAGTTTGTAAATATTTTGTGGTTGTTGTGGGTTTTTGGGGCTGTTTGGCTGTGTTCTGGAGGTTTTTCTTTCTAACTTTTTGCCAGTCTCTATGGCCAGCATCTTCAGAGAACAGGAGTTAGAACTCTGTGTTCTGGACAAAGTTCTAGGTCCTGTCCTCTGAAGATGCGGCCACAGAGACTGGCGAAAAGTTAGAAAGGAGAACCTCCAGAACACGGCCAAACAACCCGAAAAACCTACAACAACCGGCCATGAAAGCCTTCGAGAATACAATAAGTATTTTATTAGAAATAAATATTTTTGTACATATATGTAAGCGTATAGTAAGCCAGGTCCAGTTTGAGCTGTGAGCAGTTTGAACAAACTGCTCACAGTGTGACTGTCATCCAAGAAAATAGCCAAGACCAGAACACCTCTCTTGAACGAGTCTGCTTCCTACATTCACATTCCCAAGCTAAATACAGTGACTTAAAAAAAGGTTTTCCAAACATACAACCAACCTTATAAACTGCTCCAATTACCTATGGTGAGTAGGAAATGTTTCCAGGTGACCACTTGGGGTTGTTTTATAAAGTTGTTTTTTCCCAATTATCCTAATAGAAATATAAGTTGGGAAGTAGAATGATACGGGCCTATTTGAAATGCTGTGTGAACAATGTTGCTTTAAATAGGGCTCCACTGGTAGATGACTTCACAAATTTTCTAGCATGTTCCTGGCATTGGCATATGCTGGCACAGAAGTGCTATGCTGTAGCGTTCCCCATTTATTAGGTAAATGGTTCATGCATTGCTGAGAGGTGGAGCCGAGAGAGATGCTATAAGAGGTGGAGTCAGAGAGATAGTCAACGAGTCAGCAAGAGTAACAGAGTAAGAGTGGAATGTGAGAGAAGGGGACAGAGTGTGCATTTTGGGGAATTCTGAGGTATGATTAGAGTTAGGAGTGTATTATCAGATAGAAGACTGTTGTTCATAATAATAAATTGATTCAAAGAAGACATCCATGAATCATTATCAATAACTGTAATCAATAAACAAAAATTATATTTAAAAGACCTTGAAGTGTGGACCTGAATCTTCCTGAAGCAATGGTGATTTAGTGATCACCTGGTGGCAGCAGTGTAAAAGAGAGGATTGTTTGCCTTCGTGTGCTCAGAGTCTTGATGGTCAAGCAAGGGGCCCAAGGGTGAACGCCACATATGCGTATTAAAAATAAAAATGAAGGATACTATATAGAAATCACTTCAAGCTGCACTTATGTGGTAACGGAGATCTGTATACTGATCCTATCTTTTGAAATGTTGTCTTTATTCTCTGTAGCATTTAATTTCTGTCACTTTCAATTTTTCTCCCCAAACAGATACCAAACAAGATGAAAATGTAATGGCAGCAGTATAAGGAACTTGTTGTGTAATCATACTGTCTTAATGATGTGATTTTATTGGGGGCAAGAAGGTGGGGGAAACTATATTTTTAATTTGTATTTTTTCATGTTTTCCCAAGCCTCTCTCATTCTTTTTCTAACTTCAGAAAATACATTCTTGCAAAAATTCCTATTCCATTCTTGCAGTATGAACAAGTGAGCTCCAAAATCTCCTGTCCTCAACAGCCCTGGCTCGACTCTTGCAAACTCATGCCTGTGGCTTTCTTTGGGGAGTAAATCCATTTCATATTTGGTCTTCCTCTCTTTCTGTTGCCTCCAACCTTTCTCAACATTACTGTTTTTTCAGATAATCTTCTCTTGAGAACTAGGATCCACATATATCCCTTTTTAAGCCTGAAAATTAGATTCGGGTACATGGTCCTGTTTTGTGTCTTTAAAGGGGAGAGATTCTGTACAGAAAATTTATCAGAAAAATCACTTAAAAATTCTCTCACCTGCAGTAAAATTCCCACAAGTCCAAGTTTTGAATTCTCTGGATTCGCTTAATCCGATGAGTGTCCATTGTTCTTCCAAAGTAGCCAGCAACTTGGAGATATTCATTTGTCTGCTTTTGCAGAGGAATGAGCTGTAAGAAAGATGCCATACAGATTTACCCAGTTGCAATTTCCTTTGCTTCCAACATGCTCAAAGGTTTCTATTAAGCTCTTACCTGGTATGGTTCTTCTGAATTTACATTCTCCCAGTGTGCTGGCACAGGGATTGACTGGTTTTCACAGATATAACTTGAAAAGTAAAAGATGAAGTAAGCAAACTGTTGCACCTTATTTCTACATTTCCATCCCCAATACTAGGCAATAGTCATCCCTGCTAAAATTAAGGAATTAAAAAAACTTTTTTTCACTATATCCATTGGGTTTAAAGGCTAGGACTGATCTGAAAGAGGAGAGAAGGCTCTGTATGGTCTTATTCAGACAAAGCATTTGTTACCCTCAGAGTGGATTTGATTTAAATAAATTTCAAAAACCTGATTTTTTACCTAGACACGAGGGCGCTCACTACCTTAGTACTTGCGCTCGTAATTTCTAGATTAGACTACTGTAACGCGCTCTACGTGGGGCTTCCTTTGAAGC